TCGGGATTGATTTGTGGTCCCCAGAAGGGCCTGCCACAACTAGCAAATCCGTTCTGTGTTGACATGTGCCGGATGCATTCTTTTTCGTAGTTGGAGTAGCACCCAAAAACAGAGGAGGAGACGCATCAAACGATGCAACCAAGGCTAGAAAAGGACTCAACCTGTGGTTGGCTTATGAACTCTTTCCCAAAGAGTTCCGGCTACTTGTCCCACAGGTGGCCACAGGACCCATCGTATGTGTTCATACTCGATCTTGGACATCTCAATTCCCCTGAAAGAGACCAGTGGTCCCTTCTACAAGGACCACGCTTCCTGGACCGCAAACGGGCCGCTTCCTTCGGCTGCCGCTCTTTTCCACACCTGTGAGGCTGAGGCACGGCAGACGCGGATTCGACAGCTGCAACAGGCAGGGGAAAGCAGGGTTACGTAGCATGGGTTGGCAAGGACCCTCAGGTTTGGCCAGAATGCGTTAATTTCATGATGCGTTTATAGAGCGATGCCAACCAGCACTTTCGACCGGCAGAAATGAATGCCAATGACAGCTGGCTTCCACAAGAAGCATCTAGAATCTAAATGATTGCTTTAGGTTCCCACACGCCAACACCTTTGGTGAAGTTTCACCCGTCCCCGGTTTTGTGTTCTTCAAGACCCAGCTGACTGGGATTGACTGGGTCAAGCTGAAAGATGGGTCTCGTTGTCGTACTGGGTGGATCCCACGCGCTGGGCGCGCCCAAGGAGCTGGTGCGGCAGCGGGAAGCTTTGGCTTCCAAGCGGAGAGCTCCGGAGGCGCCGTGTGTCGTGTTGTCTCTCAAAGCTCCAGATGACACCAGAAGAAGAAGGACAGGTGAAACGGTGAAAGATAGTGAAACATAGTAGAACTGTGGATCCAAACGCCGCCAAGCTCGCTCAACCTCTAAGGCCCATCAACCACAACCACATATTCAACCACATATTGGCTGCAACATGATCAATATGTACCTGGACCTAATCTAATGCAGGTTTTCATATATCTAAGCATAGGTTCTGAATGGTTTTCATTGCCTTAGTGCATGGATCCCCGACTCCCCTCCCTCCCATGTGCTCCGAAAAGAGGACCGAAGCTCCGGGGGGGTTCATGTCGGACATGGGGTAGGTGGTCATGATCGGCTCATTGATTCGTAAAGGGCCTCCCAGTTGATCATCGCCGTGCTGTGCCTTCTCCACCCGTGCAGGACTCTGGGATGGCCCCGGAGTCTCGTCCCACCGAGGGAGAGGTGGGATCTCTGATCCGGCAGGGAGATGAACACCAGTGTGTTGCCCCCTTTTTTCTCCCATTGGCAGGTTCATGATTGTCAGGTCGCACCAGAATCAGCAGATACCAAGACTAGATAGACTAGGCTAAGATGAAGATGTGCCAAGGATATATCATGGGAGAAGGCTCTGATGTGACAACCTAGGCTCTGACTCACTGCTGCAACCTTGAAATTTGATTGAATGGGAAGTTCACTTACCTCCTTCAAAGCCCGCTTCCTTCACAAAAGAACTGTTTTCCCATGTTGTAAATGCATCGCCCGACTTGCCAGCAGCAACGATTGGTCAGGTGGCTCTGTCTGAGCTGAGGGAAAAGCTCAAAAAGAGCCAGGACTGTTCAAAAATGCATCGAGCAAGGCTCCTGGTCAAAACGCAGTACCATTATATAAGCACCTGGGGCACAGCAAAATAGTTTCTTCAATGGATATTCATTCCTTGGTCATGGTGGCAAACAACTTTCCATAACTTTGAGAGGAACATGTTGCCGTTGAGTATGGAGGTTGTTCATGAACGTCTTGAACGGAGGATCGCCGTCGTTCTGCCTTGCAACTGCCGCAGGAAGAGCGGCAGATGGGAGAAGCAGAGATTCATGGGGAGCAGGCAGGCACTTCCAAATGGGCGACCGCACTTGGATTGAATTGTCATGCGTGGGCTTTCGATGTGGAGGCCTCTTCATTTTGCCATAGTGAATTTGGTGTGGAGTCACGTAGTTATTGAGGTTTAACGGTTTAACGGATTTCATAGATCTCACCTCATATCATGGATCCACGATGCTGTTCGGTGGTTCTTTTTGGATGGCCCGAATCACTGTAGGCTGTAGGCGCAATTCACCCACAGTGAAGAAGGCCCACAAGACCATTCTTGGTGCATTTTGGTGATCTGAACTTTCACTAAGTGAGGGGTGAGTTGCCTGCTTATTAGTAGGTTGTGCTGGTCAACAACTCTGATTCCCAAAAGCCTGCAAAACAGCGGGAACAAACCTTGATGAGCCCTAAATGCTCCGTTGAGAGCACTAGTTCGCTTACACCCTGAGTTGGTCCTCGCAACAGGCGACTTCCAGACTTCCAAAGAACTGCAGATGACCCTCAATTGGCTGATTGCCAGACAAGCCTCCCCAAACGATCCGAATCCAGATTCGGTCAGATTCGGTCAGATCCTCCCGTCACCGGAAGAGTCGAATTCCGTCGTTTCGACGGACCGATTTTGCGGCTCCAGGCGCTGTTGTTCCCTCGCCCCAAGAGACGTGCACGGGAGGCGCGAAGCTGGTGGCACGGGTTCCCGGTTCTTTTCCCACAGGTGCCACCGGAGCAGCTCCGGTCGTTTTGGGGCCTTTGCATGGAACTGAGAGTGGGCATGAACCAAAACCCCCTGGTCCATGAAGGTGGAACTGGGGGTCCATGAAGGTGGAACCTGGGGTAACCTGGGCGGCGAGCGCTAGCTGGGAGTCAACAAAGGGCTAGGAAAGACATTCCTCGAGTAGTGTAGATAGGTGGGCAGCTGAAGGAAACAAAAGAAGAGGCCAGCTGTCCGTACTAGCGCAAGTCCAGCCTATTTCGGTGCTTGCAAGATGGTGTCCGGTACAGTGTTCATGTAATTAAGGTACTGTATGTTGTCACTGGATGTGCCTTTATTACGAATCCACTTGAACATGTATTGCAAGCTCTTCCTGTCAAGAGACCACGCATGAAGCTGAAAGACCTAGTGGCAAGTGGCAAGCAGGTGGACCGTGCCGCCCCGCACACACACACACACGAAGATAGCCCTATACTCAAGATTACTTGCCTTGCCACCTGCTAACTTTGGCCATGAATCACACTTCAACACTACTAGTTACAAGCAATTGACCTTGGTGGGCTGAAACCAGCCGAAGGCCCACGGAGTACCTACAACGGATTGAAGCTGGTGATGAATAAGTAGGCAACACCATGAACTGACCAGTACAAGAGCAAATCCATGCAGGGGGGCCTTCGGATAGCCGCTAGCCACTTCAATCACTTGAATGGTTTCTCTTTATCGGCATACCAGGCCTTTGTGAGGAAGCTGAGCATCCCCCAAATCCACCTCTTAGCCACACGTAGCCATACAGAGCTTCTCCTAAACCTGAAAGTCTCACAACTCAAATACACTCACAGCCTCAGCCACCGTGACCATGTGGCGCCTTGCGCCGTTTCGCGTGAGAGCGCACCTGCCCTGGGCTGCGGACAGGCTGGGTTGTGACTGCACTTGGTGAGGTGATTTTAATGATTCAACGCGTTGATTCAAAGGAGGTATACATATACATATTATATTTATATATATGTAAATTATACTATACAGATAATTTGTTACCAGAAACAGCAAACACATACAGCGTATGTTTTCAACTTGTTGCTCATCTGTGTTGCTAGTTCTGAGATCCATGAGCCTAACGGTGTTAGGTTGGGTTTGTGCAGCCAGGCTTCGACGGCACTTCTCAAGAGAGGTGCAGGTCTCCGAGGAGATTTGGGCTGCTTCGACTGAGGCTAAAAGCACAATCGGGCAGCAACTGGCAGTTCTTGAGATTGTATGTTGGGCAAAACTGGCCTTACTAGTAGGTTCTCTCTCAGAGACACGTTTATCCTGATCTTCTATGACCGAAGATCCAAGCTTGAAACCATTTGGGAGTGTGATTGTAAAACTACCCGTCAAGTTGATCCAGAGACATCCAGAGACCTCGTCTTCTTTCAAACCTCGTTCGAAACCACCTCGTTCTTCCACCGCCTTCGTTCGTCCGGACTCGACGGTCGCCAGGAGCGGCTGCACGAGTTCCTGCAGGCCGAGGTGGTGTTCTTCGCCTCGCGGGAGCCGATGCTCGGGCCGGGAAGAAACCGACGAAAGCGGTTACGGGCCGAAGCTTCATTTTGACATTTTTTTAACCAAAAGGGTTATATCGTTGCTATTACTACATGGTGAAACGTTACTACAGGTGAAACGATTCCGGAAGCTGGTTGTGCGAATGGTCATTCAATTGCCCACAAGTGGGAACGCCCGAAACAGCTGTTTGTCCATCCGCGGTCTTTTCTATGTTTTCTTCCCTTTTCGCCCTCGGTGACTCAGTGAAAAGCATTCGTGTCAGTGACTCGTTCCGATTCGATAGTTTTGTCGGATGATTTTGGACGAGAATATGCTGGCTCCTTCCATTAGGTTTGGGATGTCCTGTGTGGAGAATCAGGCCATATGCCCCAATGCCCTTGGGCCGTGATCCTGGACCAGGACATGTCGATTCGCAGGCTCTCGTTCCCAATGGGCGAGTCATCCCTTTGTTGAGGGGTCGGGGGAAGAAGCAACCTGAGGAAGAGCATCACGCTGCGGCAGATCTTGGATGCCAAGACTCCTGAACAAGCGGCCAACTTGGCCTACAGGGCACCTTGGTGTCTCCTATTGGAAGGGTCGCAGGTTGATGGTGGGATTTGTTGTGGGATTGGGCCATTTATATCCATTTATTGGTAAGGTCATCAACTTGAGAACCATGTGATGCAGTTGATGGGCCGTCCGTTTTGCTGCTGGATTGCTCTCCATGTCCACCATCCTGCATCCTGCCCTTTCCTGGAGTGCTCTGCATTTGTCTGATTGGTTGCCGCTTCAGGAGCTCCCGATCCGCTACGCGCAGCGCATCTTGCAGATCGAAGCCTTGCCGGAGTGGCAAGCCTCGAGGGAGCTGGTCGAGGCTCTCAAACTGAGCTGGTTTGAATTCTCTCACCGAAGACTCACGACACATGTGGTGCTGTCCTCCAAGGAAGAGAAGGAAAGGATAGGATGTTTCTTTTTTGGGACGGAAGCCTCAGTTTGAGACACATTTTGAGAGAAATCACCACGCATTGTTATGGAAGTCGTGCACCCCTATGAGGTTTGGGGGGTTGCTTCTTAGCCCAGTAGGGAGCCCTTGTAGCTCGGTCCTTTCTGCAACCACGAACTAGAGTAAGAAGTATGACATGGGCATGCTATGGCAATACTAGTCATTCATTGAAAGAATCTGGCCTGGCCAAATGAAGACTTGAGCAGCTCGCGGCCTTCCACGACCGACGACAAAAGATGTAGGTCCACCGCCTCTACTCTGAGAACTTCAAAGACATCCGCCTCGTCGAGCTGCTGGGCGCTGGGCGCTGGGCCGCGGGGATCCGACGGGATCCAGCAGTGACTGGCGGGAATCCGACGGGATCGAACCCAAATCACCAGGTTATCCTGGCCTCCAGGCCAGGACTGCTTAGGGTGAACCAAGCCCCTAGTTATATGGAGACGTAAAGCATCGTAAAGCCATTCTGGTTCAGGAAGTGTATTCATGAACAGTCTACATGTTCACTCAAGAGCACGAAGTCTGACAAGTCTGAACGAGTCTGAACGGCTCAAGCGAGCAATACGGTTCCCGCTGGAGAACGACCATCATCAATGTCATGCCATGCGATGGGGGAGGCTTAGTTGGGATGATGTGCCATGACCGCTTTGCATGTGTGGCCGGTGAAATTGTCCCGGCCCTACGTGGGTGATGTCGGTTGACCACGAGCAGTACGCCGGTGGTGCAGGACATCCCATCAATCCGAGACCGAGGCTGGATGTGAAGGAGCTCGAGCCCTTCACTGAAGTCATTGAGACCATCAAGGGGAGGATGAAAGAAGCGCCTCGAGTACTTTCATGGCCACGGATCGGCCAAGTACAGAAGCGGAAGCAGATGGAAGATATGGAAGTTCAAGCGGCAGTTCAAACACGGAATCAATTATATATATATACATTTATTTATCTATATAATAGTTATTTCAGCCCGAAACTCGAAGAGAGGGGTCGCAGAAACAGTCTTTATAGGAGAGCGGACAGAATACCGGTGAGCACCTGAACTGCAGCACACACAAGCATGACACTTATAGTCTGATAGTGGCACATGTGGTAGAGCATGAAAAACCTGCAGTCAGCAGAGCAGGCACATCCATGAATCTTCCTTGGTTGTTCAGACAGTTTTCTAATATTTGCTCATTAGCAGCACATTATTCTGAGGGATGACACTCTAACACTCTAACAGTCCACTTTGTTATAGTGTTCTAGTTGAACTGCTTCCTGGACGTATAGAGGTGGCTTGAGATAGTCCTTCGGTATGAGAAAAGGACGATCCTGGTCTTTAGGACTCCTGAAAGGAAGGTGGTTCTCTCAGAACAGCCACCAGTTTGAGCTCTTTGGACTGCCGCAGGTAGATAGGAAACTTGAGCCATTCCAAAGAGACAGCATGAGTTGCGAAGGTGCGCGAGAGACGCATCCAAGCCACCCAGTAGAGTTTTGGGCCTAATAGGTGACATGTGGGTTGGATGTGATGAGTACAGTCGTCGAAACCATTCTCCTCAGCCTGATTCAGCACCTGCGACATGTGTCGGCCCGACCTCAGGTGATTCCCATGTTGGCGACAGCAATGAGGAACTTGCAGTGGGCTGATGGTTACTCTGAAGCTGCCATTGTGCAGTGGCTGGATGCCTTCTTCCTCTCTCGCATTGGCACGGACGGGTAAGAAGCTGTGCCACGCAGAGACTGGGAATGAGGGGGCACGAGCGTTTTTGGATGCATTATACCAGTTTTGGAAGGAAGAACTCCCAAATAACCTAAGAGTGACACCCTGAACGGAATCACAACATATCATAACACAACTGTTGAACACGAAGGATTGGGGATTTTGATTAGGCATTGCTCCCCTGTCCCTAGACGCTTGAGAGAGCTGTGTCACGCTGGGGTTTGCGTTCCATTTCTACATAGATGCACCGATGCACCAGCACAAAGATGATTTTGTGTGCCTCAGGTGCATATGGAGCAATATTAGGACGCTATTAGGTGGAGGCCATCGCAAGTAGGTTGGAGGCCATCGCTACTAGCAACAAGAAGCTACTAGTAACAAATAGATGACAAAAGACCATCTAGGATTATTGGGACTCTGTGATCCCCTCGATTGACGTCACCAGGAGATGCTGACCTCTCAGTACATGGCCTCGGCCAAGCCGGACGCCGTGGCACTGCGCAGGCGCCGCGTGGGGGTGGTGGACTTCGCCTGCGACCCGGTGAACATCTGCGAACAGGCGGCCAGGCGACCGGCAGGGGGCGACGGGGTTGAGGTGATGAGAGCGCGGGGGCGACAGGGTGGGCATTTTGGAGCATATTACAAGAGAGTAAGCAGAATGTTTGCCTTACCCAAGCGTCTCGGGACTTGCTACATGTTATCGGATCGAGGGTCCAGTTGCCGATTGCTGTGCGATGGGCGATGTTCT